TTTTTTTAAAAGAATTTTAAAAATAAAAAAATTATAATAAAGAATACTTATTAAGTTAAAACAACAATATATTGATTATATTGTGTTTATTTTTGTGAAGCTCGTCATGTACATAATCAATTATCAGTTAAAATAATGGATTGTTTTCCATTTTTAAATTTTCAAAATACACAAATAATTAATTATTATAAAATACAATCCTTGTTATTATTTAGCTCATTTTGAGGTTGGTTAAAATCAAAATAATAGATTATCAAACTAAACAATATATAATTACAATTTTCAGCTATAAACAAACAACTTTGTAAACTAAATTTGTGACTCTTTTAACAAAACAAAATATACATGTTTTCTATGGCATATAAATGACAAAAGAAATCTTGATTTTATGCACAAATTAGAGTTAAATCAATCAACCAATATCAAGTGGGTTTCTTGTGCAACATTACATAGTCACAAAAGATATATGATCACTACAAGAAATACCTGAAATTACCGATGGTCAAAATCAGTCGATAATAACAAAAATTTGTCGGTAAATAAAATATTATATTTTTAAATTATTTATAACCTATTTTTTTAGAGATCTGACTTCCCTTTATATTTTTATTATTTATTTCCCCCATTATATTATTAACTCGTTAACAAAACAAAATATACATGTTTTCTATGGCATATCAATGACAAAAGAAATCTTGATTTTATGCCCGAGATAAGAGTTAAATCAATCAAACAATATCAAGTGGGTTATCAAGTGGGTTTCTTGTGCAACATTACATAGTCAACAAAAGAGATACGATCAAGTACAAGAAATATTGAAATTACTCGACGGTCAAAATTTGTCGATAAATAAAATATTATATTTTTAAATTATTTATAACCTATTTTTTAGAGATCCATCTCTATTAATCTCCCCCATTATATTTTTATAACTTTGAATCGTCATTGGTAGGATCCAAACCCAGTACCTTAGAATTGAAGGTCGATACTCTAACCACTAAACTACTATTTTTTTTTATAATAATTTACAAATAAATTATATTTATATATAAATAAATATATAAATACAAATATATTTATATTTATATATTTTGATATATTTATATATAATTAAATATTTATTTTTTAAAATTATTTAATTTATTAAATTATTATAAATTAATCTAATTATGATTAAATTAAATTATTAAATAAAAAAATCTTTAATTTTTTAATTAGGTGAATAATTAATTTATTAGAATATATTAAGTAATTATTATATAATTTTACCGACGGAAATATCCGTCATTAACTAATTGTTAATTTGCCGATGGATTTAACGATGGAAATATTTGTCGGTAAATAATTGTTAATTTATCGACAAATTTACCGATGGATATATCCGTAGATAATTAATTGTTAATTTACCGATGAATTTACCGACGGATATATTCATCGACAACTAATTATTATTTTACCGATGGATATATCCGTCGATAAGACCAAATTTTATAAATACTTTATATTTGTCGGTAATTTTCGTTAATAATGACTCATTTTTCAACGCCAATAAATCCATCGATAAAAATTGGTCGAAAATATTTTTAAGTTTTTAACTTACATTTTTCGTTAACTTTCTTATACAAGTTGTGTAGTAGTTCTTCGAGTGTATTACTTACAGGAAGGCCTTGTAGCGGTTATAATTCTCGTGGGTTCATCTTTATATATTAATATGAATATCTGTTTCCAATCAAAATTATTAAATAGTCAAACTTCAAATTTAATTTGTTTAAGGAGGTAAATATATATTAAATTTCTACAATCAAATATAAAATATTTATGTTTAACTTTTTTTTCTTATTCCAGTATAATCATCTAGTTGATTTTTAGGTTGAAAATTATAAAATGACATGAGTATTTTGTATATTGATTGTGTCTTAAACATCAACAAATATACTAATCAACGAAAGTAAGTATCGCCAAATAATTTAGTTTTCAAAGAACAATTGACTAAGTATATTTTCTCACTAAAAATAAAGAATTTTTTTAATCAAGTTTTTGATCTGTAATTTTTTATTTAACCCCACTTGCTTCAATATCTACCTATGCAACTCACATATATTCCATGTTTTCTTTTTTAATTGTTAGTATTTTCATTAACAATCCTTAACTGGTTTATTATTTAAATAAGTTATGTTATATAACCAAAAAAATATTTGAGATTCGAACTAGTATAATTTAAGTGAAAAATTTGGTTATAACTTAATCCTAAATTCCCTATTCTGTTTTGGATTTAAAATTATTAAGACAGGACCTAAAATTCTGTTATTATATCCATTATCTTCATTTATTTGGACATCATAGTCTCTAACCTCAAATTATAAACATTGAGGTTTGAAATAAGTTAAATTATCATATTATTATATTGTCGTTTAGTTATAAGTGTTAGTATTAATTTATAAATTAATTTAATTATGTGACTCATGTGAAATATAATGATGAAGTTAAATGTGATCTAATAAAATATAAAGACTCATTAATTATTATAGAAAGTCATAATAAAATTAAAGATAAAATAAAATAAAAATTTATAATAACCAACTTGATGAACGTTGATTAATAAAAATGATTAGGGTTTGTCTTTGACTATAAGGGATTTCTCACAATAAACCATCAAAGAAAGTGTGAGAGAAAATAAAGAAACAAAGAAATAGATTGAGAATAGGAGGTTGAAAAACTTATTCTCATTAAATCTCTCCTGATCAAGGTTATTACCCTATTATGATTTATATATGTTAATATGGTGATTATTTCTTATTGTTTCCATAAGAAGAGATAATCTTTAAAGACAACAAGAAAGGTGACCAAGAAAAAAATTATGCAGGAAAGCAGAACGGGTTAACCCACTCTAAAAAGCATATTGAATTTCTTCCATATGGTGAAGTTTGAACTGTCTAAGAAAAAGAAAGGAAGAAGTATAATATTATTAATGGTTGAAAAGTAAGTTAAAAATCCGAAGAGTTATGAATAATATATAAAAAAAAACCAGAAAGGAAAACTAAAAAATATAAAACTGAAACCCAACTCATATAAGTGTTTTTATAATACATAAATGAAAAATTTATATAAAAAAATATATTTGATAAAATATTTCTAGAAAATAGGGTTATATAAAAAGAAAATTTTAATACATAAATGGAGAATTAAAAAAAAATATGTTTGATAAATATTTCTAAAAAATAAGGTTAAATATATATATATATATATATATATATATATATATATATATATATATATATATATATATATATATATATATATATATATATATATATATATAAAACTACGTGAACTTCTAATGATGATTATATCTTGACATAATAAATTCAATTATTTTACCATTGACAATAAAAATTATATATCATGTAGATTCATATCAATTGTAAAACCTATATTAAAATCTAAAATAATTGTCATGTAAAATATTTCCCATCTTTCCCGTAACAATTATCAGTGCAAAAACCTTTATGTATGTTCAAATTATTGTATCATTCTTCTTAATATATGAGTCTAACTATGAGTAAAAAAACCTATATACATATTCAAATTATTGTATCATTCTTCTTCTTAATAAACGAGTTCGAGTCTAACCTAATAAGTTTGATAAGCTATTAGACCTTGTGAAAATAATTATTCTTATTTTTTGGATTGTATAAGTCATCTAAAATATTTTCTACTAAAACACATACAACGTGGTTCTACAAAAGATGCTAATTTGTTTTAAGTGGGACACTTTTTACCACGTAAACACTTTGATTAATTAAATTTTGCCACATAATATTAAATAAATTATGATACACGTTAAAAATAAAATAAAATCATAAAAAGTCATGGTCAAGCTTTAAGCTAATTAGTTGAAAAATCAACTAAAATCTTTGAGGCAAATTAGTAGTGGAAATTGTTGCATCCTTAAAATCATTTAGAAATAGATGATAAGTTATCAATGAAACAGAATTTCCTATTTTCAAGAGTAGACTAAAACTACCAGATTAAAATTGCTCATTTTTAATATGTATGAACTAAAACTAAACAATTAAAATTATGGAGACAGAGTCGAGTGTGGACTGTATAGAGAAATGAAGAGTGTAATTTAGGTAAAGATTTTGTACAGGTTCTTCTTATTTTAATGTTTTAATTTATCCATGTTTTATATTTTAAAACAATTAATAATTCTCTAATTTATCTATATTTACAAATTATATTCAAATTTGAAAATAGGGTAAGAAAAACTAATTTGTGTAATCAAGTCCAACTAAAATACATAACAGAAAATATTGTATAACACAAAAGATGCATAAAATTTTGGGTGGCAGAACTCACCTGATTTTCCACGTTCCCGGAAACGTCACCTAAGATTCTCAGTTCATCTTCCTCGTGTCAATGGTGTGCACTATGCAATACACAAACAAGCTGGCAACAGATTATTAAATTTTAAAAGGAAACGCGAACGAACTCACCCCAAATCAACAATTTATAATAATAATAAAAAAAAAACTCTAAAACTAATACTAACACTAGCCTGTAAACATGTCTTAGCAGAGGAAGCGAAAGCCGAGCCGACTGACAAGCCGAGTTAAGCGCTTCTCGCAAAACAACACGCGCACTTGCACGTGCAAACACACGTCTAACACGTAACACTCTCTTTCCACGCTCCCTGCAGCAGTAGTGAACTGATGTAAGTGGCAACACGGGTAGTGTAGTGTAGTGACTAGTGGACATGGAGTGAAATAAATAATTAATCTATCTATTAAATAAACAGACGAAAATCAAAAGGCAATAAATAAACGCACTAATAAAAAAAAACAAGGGGAAGAAAAAAATCAACGACAAGGACGAAGAAGGACGTGTACGTTGAAGAGTATTATAACTACCCCATTCCCAAACACACCTTTCACTCCTTCACTCTGCTTCCAAACACACTTCTCGCAGCACCACCACCACCAACGCCTAAATTCAACACAATGGAGCTTAGCAAAGTAACGCTAGAGATCTTCTCCAAACTCGAGCAACAATGGCTTTCCCACTACGAAGCCACGTCCAAAACCCGCATTCTCAGCATCGACGGCGGAGGAACCACTGCCATTGTCTCCGCTGCAGCCCTCGTCCACCTCGAGGACCAGATCCGCGCCCAAACCTCCGATCCCCACGCGCAAATCGCCGATTACTTCGACATCATCGCCGGAACCGGCATTGGAGCCATCCTCGCCGCCATGATCACCGCTGACGACGGCTTCGGCAGGCCTCTCTACACCGCCCGTGACGCCGTCCGCTTCGTCACCGAGAACAACCGCGAACTCTACAAGCCGAAGCGCTCTGGTGTGTTCCGCCGCCGCCGGAGATTCTCCGCGCGGAGCATGGAAAACGCGCTGAAGCGGGTTTTCCAAAGAAAAGAGGAAGAACGACGGTTGTTGACTCTGAAGGACACGTGTAAGCCTCTGCTCATCCCTTGCTTTGACCTCAAGAGTTCTGCGCCATTCGTGTTCTCCCGAGCCGACGCGTCCGAGTCACCCAGTTTCAACTTCGAGCTTTGGAAGGCGTGCCGCGCCACGTCAGCCACGCCTGGCCTCTTTGCGCCGTTTCACTTCGCCTCCGTCGATGGAAAGACGTCGTGCGCCGCCGTCGACGGCGGCCTGGTGATGAACAATCCGGCCGCGGCTGCGGTCACGCACGTCCTCCACAACAAGCGTGACTTCCCGTCGGTTAACGGCGTGGAGGATCTCCTCGTACTCTCGATCGGAAACGGAGCGCCGGCTAAGAGAGTGAACACCGCCGGTGAGTGTTCCACGTCCGCGGTGGTTGACATTGCGCTCGACGGCGTTTCCGAGACCGTTGACCAGATGTTAGGGAACGCTTTCTGTTGGAACCGTACGGACTATGTCAGGATTCAGGTACGTTCCAATACTCTCTTTACGAATGCAAAATTGAAATTCGATTCAGTAAATCGCCTCGGTCTCGGGGAACTGAATTCTACTTGCTCATACCAATAAAATTGTTTTTCATAATATATATTTTTTTTATTATTGTGAATGACGGAGTTAATTGACGGCGTGTATGATTGTGCAGGCGTTCGGTTTGGGAGAAGGAAAAGAAGAGAAAGTGCTAAACGAGAGAGTCTTGGAATCGTTACCGTTTGGGGGGAAACGGTTACTGCAGGAAACTAACGGTAACAGAATCGAGAGCTTCGTGCAACGTCTTGTTGCTACCGGAAAGACGAGTCTGCCACCTAGTCCCTGCAAGGTGCCACCGTAAGAGTCTCGCTAACGGCGTTAGTTTTTTTTTTTCCAATATTTTTACCTGTGACTTGTATCCAAGGTTAGGCCATTTAAAAAAAAAAAAAGTCCTGAAGTTTTTTTTATCTGTTGTTGTCGGAGTGAATAGCTGTTAATAAAAAAGACATGGTAGAGTTTCTCTTTCTCGTGGTTCCCTTGATTCTGATTTTGACTAACTTGGACTTATGAAAGTGCGGTGAGACATTTTGTTCCCTAACGGATACACGACGTTTGGTGTTTGATAATTACCGTTTCTTTTCTGGGATATGCTTCGCTAAGTGGTGATTATGGTTCCATGTGACTGTTAATTCCCCAAATGGCTGCGTGATTCGCGGAGTTGGAGCACCACGACTAGGCTCGTGATCAATCACTTTTCATTTTATGTTAAATTTTGAAAGAAAGTACTATCATGCAATCCAGGCTAAAAGGTTCCAAATCCAGTTTTACCTGATTGATTCAACTTTTTTTAATATAATGTTTTTGTTTTATTACATTTTCCAGAGTTTCTTCCTTATATATTTGTCTCAAATAACTTTTCTAAACATATGCCCAGTTTCAACTGTCAACTTCGCAACGCAACTTCAATGTATAACATTTGAGAAGTTTAAGTTGTACAAATATAGTATCACAAACTATTAATATACTTCCAACTACTCCAAGATTCTTTTAACATCAATTCATAAGCCACACAACACATTAGTTTTGCAAAAATAGTTGGGATGTTTTGGTAAAAAAAGGATAATTGAAACATGAGTGTGAAAATAGAGTTAATTATCAACTGTATGAGTTTTCACTTGAAGGCTTCTAGCTTCTTAGAAACGACTCTAATAAATGTCAAATAAAAATCACTTCTTTCATACTAAAAATAGAAATTATGAAAGTTATTAACCAGTATAGAAGATGCTTATGTTTTTCAAAACAATTAATATCAGAAATGCATGTCTCCTTAGTATCACATTTACAACTTCCAATTTTACAAACCTACTGTATGTATGACACACACACACACACACAGAGAAACAGCTTCGAAGAATATAGCAATATAATTTTTCATGCAGCAACGTGGTGTACCCATGGAAGGGGAAAAAGAAGCAGTCGAGTCCTATTTATTTAGCGTCAAACTGATATCATGGGTTCATCATAACAGACAAAGGCCTTTTACAAAGCTTACATGACGCAAACAAGCTTTTTCTTTTGATTAATTGAACTTTTCAGCCTTTCATTTATAGCATGCTCCTCTGAATTATCTCCGTCCTTCTTTTGGTAGGTGAGTTTAGTGATTGCAGTGTAGTACTTCTTCCCCACTGCTCATTGCTGGCATCACACACACACAGCCACCCACCGGTTTCTTATGCCACGGCATTAAATAGCCTGTAAATTTAGCTGCTTTATGTCACTGTCTTGTTGCGTCTTCATTTTTTCCCCTTCTGTTCTATCTGCTTGCTATTTCCATTGCCTTTTCTAACTGCAGATTACTTTACATTAGAACAAGTTATACAATTGCAGTGTGGCAGAGCATATATATGCTATGCTCCTGTATTTTCATCATCATGATTTTTATTTTTACCATGTATATATTATAACACTACACAAGTGTGAACCTGGTTGAACAGAATCCTCAATTAATACAAGACAAATCATATAATAATATATAAAGAATGTATTGCAGGAATATTATATCAAATTATCATAATCTAATTAGATCTGTAATCAAAACACGATTCAATGCTTTGTTAACATTGTCTGGCTTCTGATTTCATTTGATTTAGTTTTTTTTTAAATAAAAAATATTTCATTTATCAATCATTCATCTTGTCTGTTTATAAGTAAATTTATCAATCTATCAATTAGAAAAAAATGGATGAGATCAAATTCATCCATTTAAATTTATTAGTGGTTAATGATTTATCAATGATTTTTTTTTAAATGATGGATCAAAACTAATCCAACGAACATTTTCATCATTAAATATTTCACCTTTTAAAAATAATTCTTTTTAAAAGTATTTTACAAAACCATTTTAATTATTAAGAATATAAGTTTTATGAATAGATTGGATACTCATCCAGAAAAAGGAAACATTAAGAAATATATTAGATTATATTTTTATTAAATGGATCATATCAAATTTCTAAAATATATTAGTAATTCATAAGAACAAAAAATTATCAAGTTCATACACTTCGTCACTATTTTTTCATAGGTCTCTTCACGGAAAAACTATTTCTCAAAATCATTTCAGCCACAAATTGCAAAATGTTGTTTTTTTCGGTAATATTAAATTACACTTTGTGAATAAAGTTAATACACCAAATTAATGTGAGATACTAAGAGTAATGTGGTACACTGTTTTACTTTTCATCTAACCAACATAAAATATTTATTATATATATATATATATATATATATATATATATATATATATTGATAATTAAATCTTATTAACAAACTAGATTCATCATCTATCTTATAAAAAAATGTTTGTGTAATTATTGTTCTTAGTATATAGTTAATCCTTAAGTTTTTAATAAAAATTAAAGAACTTTAGTTCCATGATATGTTATTTAATTGTTAAGAGAAAATATAAATTTATCTACGAGAATAATATGTATTGATGAAGGATATAAAATATTTGGAGATTTATTGACAGTGAGGGCCCCCTGAGAGGTTGGGACTTGAGAGGAGGGGGTGACCACAACCAGTTTTAGCTCCTACGTGTTCTTCGGTTTTGGTCCAACGAGAAAGAGAATTGTTCTGAAAATTAATCCTTCGAATATAAAGAAAACAATTAATTACTTTAAATTATAATGGTAAAACCGCATATTATGAATAATTAACCTAATCTTCTTTGAACTGCTTAAAAAACCATTTGTAGTAAAATATGTTATTTTTTTTCGGTGGGATTTAGGAAAATGTTTAGAAAAACGTGAGAACACATGCAAATGTTTTGAGGAAGATATTTGACAAAATTGAGAAAATAATTTAAGTGATGAAAATTATGAATCGGACGTTTAAGGCACGTGCACAACACGTAACTAGATTTGGGTAATCATAACCGACAAATGGAGTGAGATTTGTCCTACTCGTAGGGGAGGCCACGAGAGGTTGATTTTATGCCCTTTAACTCACGAGGTGCAGATTATGAGAATACACTTATGTTGGAGAAAATAATGGCAATTCGACTGCTTTTTAAGACGTGTTCTTATAATAATCCAAACACACCCTTACTTTTATTTTCATCCAACTCCTACTTAAACAACCTTTAACCGTATAATGTCAATATCTTCTCTGCAAACAATTTTGTTTCTTACATAAAAACAAACTTTTTTTTTTTTTAATTTTACAAGCAATTTCTTGAAAAGATTATATGAATGGGTAGTTTTTTAAAAAAAATGGATAAGTTGTTTTAAACCACGACTTATCCTATTTCTGTAATTTTTCATATTAAAGTTTTCAATATATAAATTTTCTCAATGCAAATTACAAATGATGATTAATTATTTTTATAAGGCATTCATAATCTCTTCACTTGGAAGAGACCCATAGTTTTACGGCTTAAAGTTGGGTGCTTGATGTTGTCGCAGGGTACGTAGGGCAAATGTGTTGAAGAACAAACAAAATAGCAAAGTGGGTCAAATCTTAGGGAGATCCCTCCTGTCTCAATGCGATATATTATTGTATGTATTTCAGTTTATATATATATATATATATATATATATATATATATATATATATATATATATATATATTAATGTGATGATATCAAAATCGAACAATTTGACTTTTACAAATTATATATTATATTTTTTTTTAATTTATACAATAGAATTTCAGTGATGATAATATCTATAACAGCATGTGTCTCTCAATATAACAAAAAATTATTTGGTTAACTTTGTGATTTTCTGAACCTCGATTAGAAGCCATAAACTATGAAACACTTTCAAGTTGAATGCCTCAAAGTTGGACTATAATTAATTACCTTCTTTATTTATGACAATCTCTAACTACACTTTATGTGTAAGCTTATAAAAAGTTTGCAACTTAACATATTTTTTAATGCACATAGTTGCAACCTAGCTAATAATGGCTTTTCATTAATGCATATTTTAAGGGTATTTGTTCTTTTGGTAAAGTAGATTCTAAAGCCGTGCTATGCTTTAAAGATAAACTTGAGTGAAGAGTATATATATATATATATATATATATATATATATATATATATATATATATATATATATATATATATATATATATATATATAGGGTCCTTCACAAGATTAAAATACAATTGTAGATAAAAAAGAGACAAGAAACCAAAAAAAAAGCCATTGTTTTCGTATTAATGAACCATCAATGCATTGAGGCTCCATAATTTAAAATGCAACATAATGGTTGGTTTGGTCCATCCATTCCATTATTTGTTCTAGTTTGGACGGAATAATTATTGAAAAGGTTACAATAAAGAGATTTAGAATTAATATGGGATAGGTTAAGCTTATTAGGTTAAGTAGTTTGTGGGTAATCTTGTTTCTACTCTGGAATTTTATGACTACTATAGTGTTTTTAACTATTTGCTACAAGAAAATGCCAAAAGAGTGGCGAATCACACCGATCTGGACATGCGTGCAAACAGCTTCAAATTACGTAGCCACGTTTCAGGTTGATGGATGGGCACATTGAAGAATACCAAAGCATCATCTATTTGTAGGCTCAGAAAGAATAAAATCTTATGGACTGCATCTCACATTTTCTTTCTCGCTGAAAAGATCTGCAAATTGTACGTGTGGTGGTGAGAAAGTTGAAGGCCATTTTTGCACGTTAGAACACTTTTCTTTATTTCAATTTCTTCTTATGAGAATGTTTAGATTCAAACAAATTTTGTAATAATTTATTTTTATCTTATGTTTCAATTTATAACCTTTCCATTTTCACTTTTTTGCTAATATATATATTTACAATTACCATTTTAGTTCACATA